ACTTCTAGCATCCAAAACTGTGAGAAATAAATTTCTGTTGTTTCAGGCGGGCCCCCCCCCCCCCCCACCACCATCTAAAGTATTTTTGTTACAGCGCTAAGACCCTGACACTGGCTAAGGCATCTCAACTCAACCAACACACCATGCCTTCTGCCGTGTAGCACGCGATACCCAAAACACACAGACTGGTCGTGGCTAGGAGGCTTTGCTCTAACTCCCATGAACTTCTGCTCCAGGAGATTGAGTTCTTTTTTTTTTTTTTTTATTTATTTATTTTTTTTTTTCAACGTTTATTTATTTTTGGGACAGAGAGAGACAGAGCATGAACGGGGGAGGGGCAGAGAGAGAGGGAGACACAGAATCGGAAACAGGCTCCATCCAGGCTCTGAGCCATCAGCCCAGAGCCCGACGCGGGGCTCGAACTCCCGGACCGCGAGATCGTGACCTGGCTGAAGTCGGACGCCCAACCGACTGCGCCACCCAGGCGCCCCTCCAGCAGATTGAGTTCTATTCTAAGTTACGGTGCCTTGAGTTTCCTCCCAAATCGTTTTATGTCAGTTGCCCTTGCTCTCGGAGTCATGTGACTCAGTGAACGTTTTTACAACAACGGATGGAATGAAGAATGGAAAAAAAAAAAAGACATCTATTGAACCTAAGTCAAATGGAAAAGACTCGCTATAGAGAGGGAAGTCACTGAAAAAAAAAAGTCACTGTCAAATTAGGCACGCATAAGATGACTGCCAGATGGAAATGACAAACTGTGGCACTCTGGAAGGATTCTGCACTCAGCTCTCTTCCCAAGTGTCCAAGTTTCTGCTTCATTTTATATAAACCCACAATATAAATCATCAGTGATGTAATGAGGGTGTGGTTTAGGCAGAAATACATGTCTAATCAGCAGCCTCATCCATCAAAACATTGGCAAAACAAATGTACATTTTATATAAGTGCATTTTAATATGTTATAATTCAAGATATGTCAAATATGTATTTTTTAAAGTTTATTTATTTTGAAAGAGAGAGAGAGAGAGAGAGCAGGAGCAGGGAAGGGGAAGGAGGAAAGAGAGAGAGAGAGAGGGAAAGAAAGAATCCCAAGCAGGCTCCACACTGTCAGCACAGAGCCCGATGTGGGGCTCGATCTCACAAACTATGAGGTCATGACCTGAGCCAATATCAAGAGTCAGACGCTTCACTGACTGAGCCATTTAGGAGGCCATTTCTGTTTTGTGTGTGTGTGTTGTTTTTTTAGTTTATTTATCTTGAGAGAGAGAGAGAGTGTGTGCGTGAACATGAGTGGGGGAGGGGCAGAGAGGGAGGAGAGAGAGGTCAGATGTGTATTTTTTGTGATTCTCCTCCTTACTGACTTTGAACCAACCTCAATCACACCAAATAAGAAGGATCCTATAGTTTGATTACCAAAATTATCAATGTTACTATAATCAAGTTGATGAGACAAATACAGGATCTCCATTTTGCAACAAGCAAGTGGGTTCAAGAGACTTGACCAAGGTCACTTAGCAGGTAAGGGGTCGGTATCTGAACCCAAGTCTGATGCGAAAGCTCACGTCTTCGCCGTCTCTCAGTGACCCGTGGGGTGGATGGCTCAGTCCCCCAGACCACAGCCTGGCCCTCCAGATGCTGATTAGTCTCTGAGTCCTGCCCTTGCCCACCCCTAACCCCTTAGCTTCTTACCTTAGGGCCTGGACGTCCTGGGTAACCTGGGAGACCTGGCAACCCCAGCTTGCCCTGCAGAGAAATTATGGGACAAAGGTCAGGAGTTGAACCCTGAGGATCAGGAAAGAAAGGGCAGGATGGCTGGGACAGGGGGGCGGGGACGACAGCGTAGAATTCAGGGAAACGTGAGTTCAAGTCTTGGCTCCTGGCTGCTACAGGCATGTCTTTGGGCAACTCATTCCATTCAATTCTGTTGCGAACCTCAGTTTCTTTGTCTGCAAAATGGGGGTAAAAATGCCCGTCGCCTGCGGTGGGGATAAAAATCAGATAATGTAGTATGTGCAATTTCTCTATCATGCTGAGTGAAGGAATCAGAGACAGCGAGGTAGCAGTCTCCTGAGGCTGGAGACAAAACAGCCAAGGGCAGAAGGCAAAGGGCCAGGGAACACCTTCGCTGCAGGATGGGAAGCTGGAGGGTAGACTGGAGAGAAGGTGACCACGGTCCATTCACCTTCTCCCCAGCTGAGCCTGGGGGCCCCTCCTCGCCGGCCAGCCCCTCCTGCCCCTTCAGCCCTTCGGGACCATCTTCTCCCCGAGGACCGGGGGGCCCGGGGGGTCCCTGCAATAGAAAGGCGGTATCAGGCCCTGTGTCACTCCGGCCGCCTCCAGCTCCCTGTCTTAGCCCCAGCACCCCCACCCCCACCAATGTCTTCCCCAAGCTCCCCAGAACCACTAGATCCCTCATCTGGAAATCATCTTACCCGATCTCCTTTAAGCCCCCCATCGCCCTTGAAGCCTGGGAAGCCATCCTCTCCCTGGGGGAGAGAGAGTGTTAGAGGTCAGAGGTCAGAGGTCAGGGTTTCAGGGAAGGGACACAACCAGAAGCCCGTTATTAGGGCTCCCCTCAACCAGGAATCCCCTTCCTTCTCACCTTCTCTCCTTTCTCCCCCTGGAGGCCACGGTTGCCAGAGGTACCCTGAAAAACAAAAGAGACCTCCAGTCCCTCTCCTGCTTCAGAAGGGCCTTCCAACTCAGTTCCCTGTCGCAAAACAGTCAGGACAGACCCAAAAGGATATTGGACACGAGTGGAAGGGGGCAGCCTCAGAGGAAATGACCCTTCTCCAAAGCCTTGCTAGTGTGGTGTGCAAGAGGCTGCCTCTCCGCCCCTCTTCCCACTGGCAGCCTCCCAAGGTCATCTGTGTGGGGGTGTGCAGGGAAGGCCAAATTTCCGAGTAATTGATTCCAATCTCCCGGGGACACAGTGTCCACAGTTCCTTCTGGCAGGAGAATGAGGATGAACATTCCAGGCCCCAGTCTCATTCTAAAGGCAAAGGAATGTTCCCCATTGTGCTGGCCACAATGCGACTCTGTGCCTGGCAACAAAGCCAGTCTGTGCTTAGCTACACCAAGGCTGCTCAGTTCAAGCCCAGGTGCCCAAACCCCGGGCTTGGGTTGCAGTGAAAACTGCACTTGGCTACAATGTGACTGAGCTCAGAGACTATAAAGAAATTGCACTTGGATACAGCCTAACTGTGTTTTGACAATAGCATGACTGTCTCCAGCCACAGAAAGACACATGTAACTGAGCTCAGAGACTGTAATGAAATTGCACTTGGATACAACATAACTGTGTTTTGACGATAGCATGACCGTCTCCAGCCGCAGAAACACAAGGTTTAACTGAGCTCAAAGACGACAATGAAGTTGTACTTGAATACAGTAGAAGTATTTTGACCCTCGCCTGCCTCCGGGCAATTCCTTTGACTGCAGTGTAACCAAGCTTGGCTACCGTGATTCTCTGACCCTGGCTACAACGAAACTAGACTCAGCTACAACATGGCCTTCAACTTGCTCTCTATAATTATGGCTGGTTACAACATAACTCTGACTTTGGCCACCCATAGGACTCTGTGGCCAGCTGCAATAGAACCACCTCCTTGGCTCGGAGATAACTGAGCTTACCTCCAGTGCAAAAATGTGACAAGTTGCCTCTTGGCTACCGCCAAACTCTGTTCTCAGACCACAGGTACCGTACTTGGCTACAACGTGACTGGACTCATACAAATGTGAAGTCCAACGTCCCTGCCTTCGGTCAACAGTACGGCTCTTGGCTTATCCCAGCATTTCTGTGCTTGAAGATCATATGGCCCTGGGCTTGAGGTAAGACATAAACTGTCTGCTTCACTACAGAGTGCTGACCTGGACTGAGCTTAGGCCCTTCATGGGCCTAACTATTCTCAGTTACAAGGTGACAACTACATGACGGTACCTCCCTTTGGCTGTTCAGCTCCAGGTAACACACACATTTCTACCTATTGTCACTCAGATTGAAACCCCACTCCCACCACGCCTTTCCTGCAGATCGATACCTCTCAGCACATGTGCACAGGTTTACCATGAAGCTGGTTCCCTGGAGCTCATGCCAATGAATCACCCCTACTTATGCGCCCCAAGCATCACCTACCTTCACACCCCGAGGTCCAGGATAGCCCGGGGGTCCTGCTGACCCTGGTGGACCCTGGGATGGAGATAAGATCAGTGCCGTCCTGTCCTTCCCCCTCCATGTTACCAGTGCCCTCGTTCCTCTCCTCATGAGCCCCTGACCCCTGGCCCTGCCCTACCAACCCTCATCCCCAACCCGGCCTCTCTCCAGGCCACTCACCTGGGCCCCTTTCTCTCCTGTGGGACCCTCATGGCCTGGGTGACCCTGGGGAAAGAAGTTGTCAGGGACCTGGATTTGCCATCCAAATTCCCAAGCCTCCCCCTTCGCCCTCCTCCTTCTGCCAGCACCCACTTCTCACCGGAGGGCCATCAGATCCTTGAATGCCTGGAATACCTGGGTTTCCAGGGGGGCCCTGAAAGAAGATGAACAGTAGGGAGAGACACAGAGTCTCAGTCTGGCATCCCACCAAGAACAGCCCTACTCAGACATGCAGCACAGTACATCAAGGTCACAGCTCAGACATCAAGGTCACATAACAAGCACAGCCCACAGGCCACGAAACCTCTCCCTGGCTCTGCCCAGTCTTACTGAGCGACCCCGGGCCAGCCCCTTTCCCTCTCTGAGCCTCAGAAATCCTTCACTCCTGGGAGAGTGGAGACAAAGGAGGTAAAAACAGGGGGAGGAACACGTTGGGCTGGGGGATTCTTCAGCAATACCCCTTTCTTTAGAAGTGCCTCCACCTTCATCCGAGAGGGGTGGGCCTAGGCAGGCACGAGGTGACCCCTGTGTTCTGCGAATAGTTGATAGGTCCAGAGGCGGGCACTGGGTCCAACTAAACCAATCATTTTCTTCTGAGAATTTGAGGTAAGCGACGTCTCACTTCATAGAAACTATGATCAGGTGGGTTTAGGTAAAGAAACTATAAGGCCATGCGGAGCTGGGGGCTGAAATGGTGACAAATCGTGCAGAAACGGGACTGGCGGGGGGGGGGGGGTGGACAGAGACACGTGCAGGAAAAAGCCTGTCTGCTGAGGGAGAGGGAACACATGTGCCGGGGAATAAAGATGACACCACAGGACCCCAGAGAAAGGCCTTCCTGGCCCATGGATCTCGCTAATATTTTTGATGACGGTGGCTTCTGTGAGTTCCCCTAAATCCTGACAATGTGCCCTTATTTCTGTTTCCCCCAATCAACCCTTTCCCGTCAGTGATTTTTTTTTTTTTTTTTAAACTCTCAGCTTGCTGAAGGATTGTTGCGATTCACCGTTATCCAGGGCTAACCACAGGGCCCTGGGGGGAAGCTTTTCCTGCAGCAGAATTGAAGGAAGAAGACAGGAGAAGGTGGTGGTAGATGGGGTTGTCACTCACCTTCTCCCCAGGAGTGCCAATGGGTCCCTGGGGGCCAGGGAGTCCCTGGGGACATAAAGAAAGAAAAAAAAAAAAAAAAAGGAAGGTGAAGGAAGACATGAGAAATGAGCAATGAGCTGGGGAGTGGGGAGGCTGGGAGGGGTCTATGACCATGGCCGACTACTGTCAAACCCCGGTTATTGAAATCGATAGCTCAAACCTGGGATCCAGGATTTCCCTGCTGTCCTGGAGGGCCTGGTTCTCCGGGAGGACCCTGGGGAGAAAGTGGGGGTGCTGTGACTCTGGAAGGGACCCCAGCGTGGAGGTGCCAGTGAAATTGACAAGGGGGCCAGGGGAGTGCACAGGGATATGGACAGATGGCCACGGGGTCAGCGCATCAGAAAGCGCTAGGGGTCAGAAGGCGGGACACGTACCACATTTCCCTTGGCTCCCGGAGCACCATCAATCCCAAGTACACCCTGGGGGAGGAGAGGGTGTGAGACCCGGGCAGACACCACACAGGAGCCTGAGTCTGAGACACCGAGAGGTACAGGTGGGAAGATGAGCAGGCAGCGAAATCAGGTAACAGAAATGGGCACGCAGAGGAGACAGAGGTGAGAGGAAGACAAGCAGAGAGGTGGACAGATAGCGACAGTCTCACCGGGCGTCCCAGGGGACCAGGGGAGCCTCTAGGGCCGATCAGTCCTCGGGGGCCCTGCAAGGAGGTAGGAGCATTATTCCAGCACCCCTGCTCGGAGGCCCCGTGAGTCCTGGCTCCCTCCCCTGGGCCAGGCAAAGGGGCCTGAGAGCCCTGGTACTCACCGGTTCCCCAGCCTGGCCTGTGGGCCCCGGAGGTCCCTCTGCTCCCTGTGGGAAAGCATTCATCACTCGGTGAGGGGGGGGTGGGGAGTATAACCCTCAGAAAACCACCTTCCCTCATCTGGGCACCTCTTCCAGGGGATCCCAGAGCCAGAGTGTAAGGCAGTAACCAACAGACTGAGCACACGTGATTCAGTTCGGGCCCCTGACCCCAAACCTGAGTCCCACCTACCAACTCTGGTACTAGCTCCCAGCCCTCAGTCCACCTTTTTGAGCCCCACTGAGGATCCTGGCCCTCCAGCACAGACCCTCACCTCTCATCCCGGCCCCTGAAGACTCCATTCCTCTCTGACTCTCACTCTAAACCATTCCCTCTCTTCCCCAAACTTACCTTCTCACCATCCTCTCCTGGGGGGCCAGGTTGCCCCACATGGCCAAAGTCACCCTGGAGTTAGGAGGGGGGGGGGGCGTTCAGAGTGGAGATGTGAGGGTAGAGACCAGCCTCCCAGGGAAGGACATGCGGCACAGGAATGAGAGCTCGGATATGGGGATGGGGATTCTGACCCTGGGGGTGGGGAGGGCATCCTGAATACTAGGAGGCTTGACATGCAGGAGGGGCCTCACACACTCACCCTTTGGCCCTTCTCACCAGGCAGCCCTGGCAGGCCGTCAAAGCCCCGATCACCCTGCACAAAGAGACACCGCCTGAACCCCGAATCCTCGACCCAACCGTCCCTCTAAGTCCCGAACCTGACCTTATCACCTACCTTAGGTCCTGTGTCCCCTGGGAGGCCCCGGGCCCCATCTGCTCCAGAGCGGCCCTGTCAGGGAGGTGACAACATCACGACACCCATCGCTGTCTGTTGAGCTCCTCCCTCATGAAGAATCCTGGGGGATTCTCTGTGTATCAGTTTAACTTCCCAAACACATCTCAAACCCGTCCACTGTTCTTTATCTCCAGGCCCTTTCCCCAAGTGCACATCACCAGGATCACAAAAATTAAAATCTCCAGTCTCCATTAATTGTCCCAGTTCTTCATTTCCCGCTGCATTTAACAATTGTCTGGAATTATCTTGCTCATCATCTCCCTCAGTATACCAGTCTTTTCTTTTGCGCATGCTGTTCCTTCTACTGGAATGCCCTTCCTCTCCTGTTTACTTGGTTATACCTCAGACCTCAGTTCAAGCATCATTCTCTCTAGAAAGTCCTCCTTGGCTCTGTGACCTGACCAGATCCCTTTGTGACAAACTCAGTGGAGCTGCCATTCTCCGTCCTCGGTGCCCTTATCCCACCAATGACACCAGCAGACCCTGCGGGCACGGAGCCAAGACTCCTGTTGGGTGTTGAGGGATAGATGAGGGATGGCCTAAAGACTTATGAGTTACTCACCATCTTTCCCTCCCGGCCAGGGGGCCCAAGAGGTCCCTGAAGGCCTCGGGGACCCTAGGAGAGAAAAGGAGGAAGAAAAAGGAGAACAAGAAGGAGAAAGGACTTATTTTTTTTTTAATTTTTTTTTCAACGTTTATTTATTTTGGGGACAGAGAGAGACAGAGCATGAACGGGGGAGGGGCAGAGAGAGAGGGAGACACAGAATCGGAAACAGGCTCCAGGCTCCGAGCCATCAGCCCAGAGCCCGACGCGGGGCTCGAACTCACGGACCGCGAGATCACGAGATCCCGCGAGATCGCGAGATCGTGACCTGGCTGAAGTCGGACGCTTAACCGACTGCGCCACCCAGGCGCCCCAGAAAGGACTTATTTTTAATCATTCTCTAGGAAGGGCAGCAACTGCAAAGGTGTCCTCAGCCCCTTTGTCATTGTCCTCAAACAGCACTTTATCCTGTGGCTCCGGGAGAAGACCCTTCCCCTCCAATCCTGGCCCCATCCCCCAGTCTCACCTGTGGCCCCATTTCTCCCATCTCTCCTTTCTGACCGGGATACCCAGGGAGACCCTTGGAGGAAAGAGATGGGGAAATGGAATTAGAGGGAGGTTGCCCTTCTCCACTGATGTGTCCCCCTCCTCTGTACAGTCTCCTTACTCACCACAGGGCCTGGGCGCCCAGTGAGCCCCACCGGGCCAGGAGGACCTTTCATAGACAGCTGGAAAGATGGGGGAAACAGATCCTCAGGTCTCCCACAAAACCCCAACACCCTCCAAAAGAGCATCTTCAGGAGACAAACATCCACCTGCCCCCCAACTAGCCTCCACTATGCCCATCTCTGTCATTCCCTCAATGTCCTCCCATTACCCCCCGTTGGTCCCCTGATTATCTTCCACTCACCTGAGCCTGTTGCAGGACTGCCTGCGCCTGGGCTTGCTGGAAGGAGACTGGGGGTCCTTTGAGGGAGCTGCTTGCAAACTGGAACTAGGGGGCAGCTAGTCATGAGGGGGGGCCCAAGGAGAGGCCCCTCCTGGGTCAGGACTACACCCCCCAAGGATGTGCTACCCTATCCCCCTCTTACCGGCATCATGATCACAGTGCCTGGTAGACCCCGGATCCCATCGATGCCAGGGATTCCGGGGAGGCCAGCAGGACCCTGAGAGAGGGAGAGACACAGAGGGGGATGGAGGCAGAGAGATAGACAGACAGAGATGAGAGATAGAGATAGAGGGGGAGAGGGGAGAGACAGAGACATAGGGAGAAAGACAGAGATGAAGGACACTCAGGGATAGAGACAGATGGAAGGAGAAAAGCAGGGGATATACCCCCAGAGACAGGACATGGACCAGAGTGACAATTCACAGATGGAAAGAGAGATGAGCAAGTGGGGCCAGTGCCAGCTTCAGTGTGGTGTCCTCAGTCCCTGCCTCCCAGATCCATGTTCAGACATACACGTGCCCACCTTCAGCCACATGGCCCAAAACCTCACCCCCCCCAAAAGGATACAACCCAGAGGGAGTCTCTTACCGGTAGACCAGGGTCTCCAGGGAATCCTGGGGGGCCGGGAGGGCCTGAGGGGCCGACCACCCCCTGTTGGGGACAGAGAACAGAGGTTCATAAGGAGTGCAAAGCTCGAGCCAGGCCAACTTCTGACCCACCACAGACTCTGACCCCATGCAGACCTCCTTACCCATCACTGAGCCATTCCTGGCCCCTCAGTACTATATTGACCCATGCCACCCCCCAACTTTACATCCCAACCCCTATTTTGATTCACCCTTTGAGCCTCAAATATGCAATAATCTTTTAATGATATGGCAATGTTACACCTCAACCCTCCACCCCCGGGTCTCAAATACCCCAACTAGAATAGAAAGGAAGAGGGGGGTGTAGCCATCACTCACTCGGGGTCCTGGGGCTCCTGGAGGTCCCTCAAACTTCTGTCCCTGAGGGAGAAATGAGTGTGACCCCCGTTCTAGCCCAGACCTCTCCACCTCCTCCTAGCCCCAGGCCCCTCACCTGTTCAATCACTGCTGGTTCCCCTTTTGCTCCCTTCTCTCCAGCACCCTGGGGCAGGGGAATGAACAGAAAAGACACGTGAGCCCTGACCATGGTCAAGAAGAAGAGCATGAACTTCAGGGTGTGCTGTGGGGTCCTAATCCTGGAGCTGCCTCTCACTATCCGGTGACGGGGAACAACTTCTTCGACTCCTATGGCCTCACCTGCAGAGTCAGTAGGCAAATGATAACAGTGTATGTCCCCCAGGAAGAAGAATAAATTAAAACAATGGTCGACACATAACAAGCCCTCAGGGTAGGTTGGCTATGAGCATTCCCCTCCTCCCTTGCCCAATACCAAGGCTAGAACCTGGCACCCTTCCCAGTCTGCACTATTTTCCGAAGCAATCTTGTCCAATCCCTTGGCTAAAGGTAGCATCCCTCCGGTTGATGGTTCCCAAGTCTTTATCTCCAGCCTAGACCATGTCCCTTGAACTCCAGAATCTTCTAAACAATCACCCACTTGGCATCTCCATTTGGATGCCAAGCAGGGGTTGCCAGTTTAGCACATCCAAAATGGGACCCTTGATGCTTTCCACCCGCTCTTCCTTTAGGCGTCCCCATCTTGTTCAAAGGTGCCACCATGCATCGGCTAAGTCATCCTCGCCTCTTTCTCCATCTCCAGTAGTAAGACAGGCCCAGACCTGTCCACTTCTTTCTGTCCCCACTGTCACCACCTTGCTCCAGGTCACCAGGCTCTTGCTGCACAGACCACTGGTTTCCCTGCTGCCTCTCTGGCTCCCCCTACAGTCCATATGCTGTTCAGCAGCCAGAAAGAACTTTTAAAGCTCCAAGTCCCATCAGGCTCCATGAGCTTGATCAAGAGGTTTCTCATCACGCTTGGACTAAAGGCCAAACGCATAATTCTATACACGGAGCCATCCATTCGCGAAGTTCCTGTCACATCAGCATAGTGATAATATTTAGCAACTACAGTGGGGTGGTGGGAAGGCATTCTAGGCAAGATTAAAAGAAGGCAAAAGAGAAAATGTGGTCCTATGTGGTTCCAGGCAGGACTTCCTCCCCGCCCCCCCCCCCCCCCGCACCCAAATACTCAGACTCACAGAAAAAATCTGGAACTGAGTCTGTGACGGCTGCTCTGCTGCCCGGAAGACAGGGACAATGGTAGGGCCACCTCCTTCTTTGTCTTCTTTGGCTAACTTAGTCTCCAGGGTCCTCAGTTCTGTTCCACTGTCAGGGTCCAGGGGCCCCTGAGAACATTGTGACAGACCCAAGTTTGTCCCTGATGTCCTCATTGTCTGCCACCACCAGTTCCCAGGACTTTCCCTTCCCCCTTCCCTTCCAGCCCTGTCCACTTCCCACTGACCTCTAGCATGGTGACATTGTGGCCAATAGTCACAGTGGTGGTCATGACCAAAGGCGTGGGAATCGGAGGTAAAGTTGAAGCTGGTGTCTCTGTTTGGGGGATGTCAGGGGAGGTCTGCAGCAGGGACAAAAGAAGTATCAGTCCCCCAGGGGAAGCTAGACCCTGCCCCCGCCCCCAGCAATGCCCAGTCCGAGGAAGGAAACAAAGGAGGACTCCCCCAAAAAACCATCAGCGAGGTATAAGGTAGGGGACTGGGACTGGTCAATGGAGGCAAATGTGTTCTGACTGGATCAGGACAGCCGCCAGCAGGGGGAGGCCTCTTGTGTGGAAGAAGAGCAAGGCTGGGTCAGGTCTGGGAGACCTAGAAGGCAGAGTGGGGCTGGCTCGATAACCACAGTCAAGGTCCAGTACTCAGGACCAGACTCCAAGAAGCCCACCCCACATGTCTTCTCCCAAGGCAGAGCTCAGTGGTCAGCCAGCCAGGCCACAATTAGAGAGGCCTGGACAGCTGTAGAGAAATTTGGTCAAGGGCACAAAGAGGGTAGTAGAGGCCCAGGCCCTTCCTGAGGAAGGGGTTGGGGAGGGGTTCTTTTTCTGGGCCTGAAGTGATCATTTCTTTCTCTCCACTGAGTTAGTACATCAGTGAGAACAGATGGAATGTGACCAGTGACTCTCCCCCAACCAATGGCCTGCACCAAGGATGCCTACCCAGTGACTCACCAGCTAATGATCTCCCATTAATGACCTCTAATGATTCCTACAACCAGGGGCCCATTAGTGACTCCCTAATTAATGACCCCCATCAATATCCCCTGACTAATGATCCCACTAAGGGACTTAACCAATGACCCCTCCAACTAATAACTCACATCACTGGCCTTTATTCCTATAACTAGTTATTCCTGTAACTAGTGATCCATCAGCGGCCCCTGCAGTCAATGACTACAACCATTTACTCTCCCATCCAGTGACCTCCCCAACCAATGACCCCCTCCACAACAAGTACTAGCCAGTAGACCCTCAACTACTAAGCCTTACCAGTGACCCCCTAATCAATTATTCCCCTAACCAGTGATCCTCCAACAACAAGCAACCATGAGCGAGCCCATCTATTGCTACCCCACCAATGACCCCAAACAGTAATTTCACTAATCAGTGACCCATCAATGCCTTCCCAACTAATAATCCATCAGGGACTCCCAAACCAATTATCTCATCCATGACCCCTGAAAGTCATTTCTGCAACTGGTGACTATAACTGGTGACCCCACTAGTGCCTTCTAATCAGTGGTCCCCTACTGATGACCTACCTTCCTTCCCAACTAATAATCCCCATCAATGGCCCCTTCCCATTAACCCTAAACCAGTGACAACAATAACACCAACAGTGGTCTCTATCAATGACTTCCAACAATGACCCCCACTTAGGAACCTCTCAAACATCAACCTCAATCAATATCTCCCTTTAGTGACCTCCCAACCCGCAATCTCTATCAGGAAAGCCAAATAGTGCCCCCCAATTAGACTTCTCCAATGAATAACCCTCACCAGTTACCTAGACCAATCAATCCCAAACAATGACACTCTAACTAATGAACCCATTATTCACTCCAGCTAATTGCTGCCCTTAAGCAGTAGCCTCCATCAAGAACCTCCTAATATAAGGTAATCATCTGGGTTTGCCCCTTTCCTCCAGCCCCAAAAACTGGACATTGGGGAGCAGAGATGAGAAAGCTCATAAGACAGTTCCAGCCCCCCTGCCACACATAGTTGTCAGCTGAGACAAGTCAAAGGTCAGGGATTGGAGACCAAAGGCATAGAACTTGGATGAGGTACGAGCAGTCAGTAGGAATCAGAGACCAGAGGTCAGGCAGTCAAAGAGCAGAGGTGAGTGGCTGCAGATCCCTTACCTGGTTCTCCAGGGAGCCAGGAGGTAGGCTTGGGGTCAAAGTCTCCTCGTTCTTCTTCTTCTTCCTGCCCTTCCCCTTACGACCTCGCCCTTTTTTCTTCCCTTTTCCCTTCCCCTTACGTCGAGGGGCTGGAGTTTCTGGCTCACCCTGGGGGGCCTGGGAAGAGGACCTCCATCAGGTCCAGAGCCCCTCAGTGGAGCCCCCATGGCTCAGTCATCTGGGACCATGCTGGCACATGGCTCATTGGTCCCATGTTTTGAACCCAGGGCTCACTCAGTCCTGTGACCTAGGGTCAAGCATACGATCTGGATCCAAGAATCACTCAGTTATGTGACTTAGACCAAGGCCACTCATGCCTAGGACCTTCTTGAGGGCAGGAGTCACTCAGTCCCAGGTAGGGGTCAGAATTCACTCATTCCTGAGATCTGGATCCAGGGATGATTCAGCCTGACCTTAGGACAAACCCCTCACTTACCCCTGTGGCTATAGGGTCCAGGTTGTCACAGCCAGGAAGGTACCGCTCACAGGCCTGGAAGGCAGCCTGAGGATCTGGACTTATCAGCAACTCCTGAATATCTCCCTGGAGAGAGGATGGGGGCCAGGGAAAGAAAGCCACAGGCTGACTCTGACACCCTATTCCAAGCACCAAGGCTTGGTATTTCTCTACTCAGGGCCCCATAAGTATAAAGAGGGGGTGGCCCCACCACAGCCCCCACAATCCCTCTGAGAGGGAGGAAGATTCTGTCACGGTCACACCAAATCACAGCCATAAATCATACCCTACAACACCTGTCCCATCAGAGGCACATTTATTCCTTTGCCCCCAGGCACCTGACACCTAATATGTGCCAGGTGCCCTTTAAGGTATTGGGGATAAGGAGGGGAACAAGATGAATGTGGTCCCTGGCCCCCTGGAGGGGACACACATCACAACCACACACAGTCACACACCATCGTAGCAACCAGTACAGTCCCGCGTCTCCACCGTATTCTACCACGAGTCAAGTATGCACTATCGCGTACTGTTGTTTTGTGGCTCTACAATCTCACGCACCACAAGATGCACAACGATGCATTCCACTCCCTCTCCTCAGCTTCCTGGACCTGGGGTGAAGCTGGCCAAAACGCCTTCCCGTCCCCTGCCTCAGTTTCCCCGACCACTGAACCCCTACCTCAAAAGTCTCCTCCCCGAGATCCTGGGTTCCCAACACAGTGAGTCCAGCCGTGCTAATGAATCGAGGCCCCTGGCCCAACGTGGGGGGCTGAGGTTCACAGTCGGCCACCAGAGTCACCATCCTGCCATCCACACTGATTGCCACACGGTGCCACCTGCAAGAGGACAGTCTCAGTGGGGGGGTGCTTCTCACCCCACTTCTCTCTGGACCCCAACCTTCCCTATACTCACCTGCCATCCATGAGGTTGACCTGCTGGGGGAGGGGGCTGAAGGAGTCACCTAGAAGACCCAGAGCTGGCCCCAGAGCCAGGCCCAGCTGCCGAGCACCACCCTCATCATAAATGGACAGAAGGACAGATTGGTTGGCTGGCTGGCCCCGCAGAGTGATCAGCACGGAAAAGTTCTCGGGAAAGTGCCCGTCTGAAGGGGCAGAGGGAAAGGAGCAGCTTAGAGGGCCTGGCAGAGACCCATGCTCCCAGGATGACTCCCCCCAACCCCTCCTGCACTGACTCACCTGGAAAAAGCTCCCACGTAGGGATCCCAAGTGTGGTGGCCTTGCCAACCCTGAATGCCCGGTCACCCTCCGGGGCCCTCTGGGGGCAGAAGCCAGGCCCTTCAGAGACTCCAGCCTGGCCCCCTCGCACACCCAGGGCCTTCAGCACATCCACAGGGTCTGCTGTAGAGAGAAGCCGGGGTGCAGGGCAGTTAAAACAAATCTAGGACTCCATGTGAGTAGCTCAGGTTTGGGGGCTTCAGCCCCCCACGGTGTTTGTGGGTCACAGAGAAGGAGCAGGCGCGGGACCTGACCCATCTCACCACCCCACAGCTGTTCCAGCCTCGTCAGCCTGTTGACTCCTGTTCCCCACCACCCCCCCCCCCCCGGGGGGGTTTTGGGGGGGGGAAAAAAAAAAAAGCTGACCTACTTCTGGGATGAATCAAGGCTTCCTGGCCTGAGCCCCAGAGCCAGACTGTCCCCCTCTCTGCTCTCCCCCACACCAACTCCCTGGGGCTGCTTCCCAGCCTGAAGCCCCCTGCCAGGGGAAACCCGCTTGGGGGGGGGGGGCTCCTAGTGTGTGTTTCCCCCACCTCCTCCCTCTGACCTCCTCCTTTGACTGCCACTTCCTCTGAATTCCTCCTCCCTGATCATCACCCATGATCTACTCCCTTTCACCACTACCTCTCCTGACTTCTTCCTTCTGACCCCCTCCTTCCTTGATCACCATCACCCATGACCTCCTCTTTCTGCCTAACCCAGTCTCCTCCATCTGACCTGTGACCTCCCCATTTTATCACCTTCTCTGACCTCCTCCTGATGACTGCCTCTCTCTAATAACCTCCTGACCTCCTCCCTCTGACCCTATCCCTCCTGACCTCCTCCCT